GTGGCCACTGCACTCCAGTCTGGGTGACTGAGTGAGACTCCAACTCAAAAAAAAAAAAAACGTGGTGCACATACACTATGGAATGCTACACAGCCATGAAAAAGAACAAAATCGTGAATTTCGCAGCAACCTGAAAGGAACTATCGTCTATAATAATGAGTGATCTCTAACAGAAATAAAGATCTGAGTATCACATGTTCTCACTCATATAGTAGACCTTGAATATCTATCATAATACTAGAAGAAAAGGACTGACAGTGTGGGAAACTATGGGGGGGTAGGGAGGGGAAGGGAGGTGGGACTAACGGTAGTCAATATCTGTCTGGGGATGGGAAGACAACCCTTTTCAACAAGGGTATCTAATGATGCATATTTGTAAAGCTTACCCTTAATTGTACCCCACAACTTTAAAATAAAAAATATGTATAAGAGGAAAAAAAAAAAGGTTTCGTTCATTCCTAACTTACAAGAGTTATACATACAAGATGACTGCTAATTTCTACATTATTTATTCTTTAGTTGATAATAAATTATGCCTCATTCTGTCTGAACATAAGCATGATCTCCCCAGACTACACAGAAAAATGTCCTTGTACATTCTCCTCCTCCTACTCCTACTACTCCTCCCCCTCCTCCTCCTCCTCCTCCTCCTTCTACTTCTTCTTTTGTGGCATAACCCTCAAGGATGGTGGGGAAAAATGGGTGAAATAATAAAAACACATCCTTGGCTTGTTGCTTTCACTAATGGAACCAAGTTTTTACCATTAAGTATGACATTTACTGTCAAATTAAGTTTCCTAACTTACAAGAGTTTTTGATTCAAGATGATTGTTAATTTATACATTATTTATTCTTTAGTTGATAATAAACTATGCCTCATTCTGTCTGCACATAAGCATGATATCTCCAGACTACACAGAAAAATGTCATTGCACATTCTCCTCCTCCTCCTCTTCCTCCTCTTTGTTTTTTTGTGGCATAACCCTCAAGGATGCTGGGGGAAAATGGGTGGGAAAAAAAAGGCATCCTTGGCTTGTTTCTTTCTCTCATGGAACCAAGTTTTTACCAATAAGTATGATACTTACTCTTGATTTGGGGTAAAAATCCTGTCAAATTAAGAAAGCTTTCTCTCATTCGTAACTTACACGAGTTTTAGATTCAAGATGACTGCTAATTTCTACATTATATATTCTTTAGTTGATAAAAAATTATACCTCCTTCTGTCTGCACATAAGCATTATCTCTCCAGACTACACAAGAAAATGTCTGTGTACATTATCCTACTCAAATATGAACTAAGTTGCTTGGAAAGATGAAAAGATGGCATGGTCACAGAGCCACCTCCAACAAAGCTATGACTATAAAACAGTTTCTTTATCCGTGAACAGTGATAGCCTTTCTTCTCAGGCATAGTGATCTTTTGATTATCTAGGTGTGCATTTTTCTACATTTCTCTGTGCACAGGAGAGCTATTATCTAGTAGTAGTAAGCACATTTGAAAAAAAGGATACAGAGAATCCTATAATATGCGTTCAAATGTTAGCTCTTTCACTTATCAGCTATGAGGTCAGAGATGAGTTTTTTAAGTCCTCTGAATTTGTTTTCCCACCTGCAAAATATGTATATAGTATTCCACTGTCTAGCACTGTTCCTGATATATAATACTAAGATCTGAATAAACCATGGTAAATATACAAACATACCAAACTGATATTAAATTAAAATGCTTACAATAAAGTTGATGCAGAGATGGTAGGTAGGTATTTATAAATGTGTCTGCATCGATAATGGGCTGCTGCATCAATAAACATGTGGTGCAGAAAGACTTACAAAGAATATACAGCAATAACAAACTACCTACAAGTTATCATCTATACAATTTTTCTCTATAAGACTGGTTAAGAAAAACAAATCTCACATACCTAAACAGCTCAGAAGCACTACCCTCCACTAATGGGGGGGATAATAGCAATTTCGTCTCCCGGTTGAAGCAAGAGGAGCTGATCTCCAAGCTCGACATATTCTTGACGAACAGCAAATATCACTTGATTTTTAACATCAGCCAATCTGAAGGGGAAAAAATATGATTAGACGTATCAATCCTGTGATAGGTCACAAATCTCTTTAGCTGCAATTAAAGATATTACATAAATAATACTATGTGCAGCGTCGCCTGCAAAATTACTAATTAACTCATTCTATAGGCAAAGGACATATCCTCTGAAGAACATACCTTTTCACTGCAAAGAACACATTAAACTGCTATCAACTCTTTATTGGAAGTTGTGTGTCATAGAGAATCAAACAAAGAAAAAAACCACCAGACTGAAAACAATATTCAAACCAAGTCAAAAGAAAATAAAACTTTTCAAATTCATGCATGGCCTTTCCACGGGTCATCCACCTATGTGTACAAGCCTACTAAGTAAAGCTATAAGATTTCCTACAAACTGTGCTTGTACACGTTATCCTATTCAAATACAAAAAAGTTACTTAGAAAGATGAAAAGATGGCATGGTTCACAGAGCCACCTGCAACACAGTTATAATAATAAAGCTGTTTCTTCATATCTGGACAATGTAGGTTTTCTTCTCAGGTACAGTGAAAATGTGTACGAGACCAGGTGTCTCCATGCAGGTAACAGATTCAAGGTAAAGGAGAACAGAGGGCACACCATGTTTCATTGATTATCAGGCCATTGTAAGAGCACCTTAAAAGATATGAAATCAAGAATCTAAGCATCCATTGTTGAGTATATTTTGCAAAGCACTAGGACTTCCAGGTTAAACAATTATACAGATTTAAGTAAGACTATTAATATTCCAGGAACAGCTTCCAGTAAGATGCTTTCATATTTTGTTCCAAAAAAGACTTGAGGTAGGAATGACAGCAATGAAATTACAGATTTTCAAGAACCAGAAAATATTTAAATATTGAACAAAAAATTCAAATTCAATGGCATCTAGGATTTGTTGTAGCTAATTTTTCTTTTAACCTTAGAAATTTCTCTTTGAATTCTCTAAACAGGGGGCAGAACAAAAAAGTTTAAAACACATATTTTTAACAAAATTTGTAACAATTTCATTTAATGTTATAAAAATGCAGATTCTACATGTAAAGTATTTTGTAAATTATGAAAGAGGATATGATCATGTACTTCTGGGAGTATGCCAGCTCACTGTGCTTTTTGGATAAAATACCTCTAGCCTTCCTTTAAAAATGTTGCTTTTCTAAAAACTAGAGTTTAAGTTTTCAGTAGTTCCAGAAAAATATAACTAATGACCCTTTTTGACAATAAGCATAGAAATTACCCTTTTTAGAAACGTTTATCAGATATACACTTTTAAAATATAAAAAAAAAAATGGGTTAATCACATTCATTCTACAAACGTTTAACTACCCAGGATGCCGAGATTCTATCTCCTTCCACAGCTGCAGTGCTTTTATTTCTTGTGGCACAGAAATGGTCTCTGAACGAACTCCCGCTATTTCAGCACTTTTTGCAAAATACAATACTTCAACCTGAAAATAAACAAAATGCTCTTAAGAAGAACTCATAGTCCTTTTCTGTCTACCCATGCAGAGAAGTTTTCTCATTTTTCAAATGTATTACTTCGGTCAAAGACAAATTTTATAAGTTAAATGAAATCATTCATAAAAAATTTCATATATCTACAAACACAAATTTTGAAAAACTGTTATGTTTTAAACACAATTCAGACTAATTTCTGGGTGTCTTTTAAGTGTCCCATAGCAGAAATCCTAATTATATATCTTTATAGAAAACATGCTAAGCTCGTCTTCAGTTGACATAAAATGACAGCACCTTTTATAAACACTTAAGCAATGAACAAATATGAGTCAAGAGACGAATTACCCACAGAAACTAAATGACCAGACTAGCGAAAAAACAGCCCCTTCATAGCTGCTAAATGAACTTTGATTCCAGTCTACATAACACTGGACCCAGCTGCTGAAGATTAAATTACGCAACACACAAAACCTGACATTTATAAAAGCAAGAGGGTTTGAAACACAGGATAAACTGCTATTTCCTAGGACAAACCAGTGCCAACAGCCTGTTATCCCAAGGATCCGACTAAGTAAAACGGCTCACCTGTCGCTCACTACAAAGTATTCTCTACAAAATAATGACAGGTTTGCAAATAATCAAGGGTGGGTACATCCATAGGTGAAGCACATGTCTTCACAAGAATTCTTAATTGGGTGCATTTCTTTTTAGATTAAAAATTTAGCTTCGCCCAAAGGAATAATCTGACACAAGGGGGGATCCAAAAAAGATCCAGGGGATCCAGCCTGTCCACGACGCCGTGACCTGGACACCAAGAGTTCACGGAGTGCACTTGACTTCTGTTGGGGCGGCTGGAGCAAAGCGTCGTGGAGGGGCCACCACGGTGGTGGCTCTGGAGGTGACTGTGGTGGTGGCGGTGGCAGCCCGGAACCAAAGTCCAGGTCAGTGTGGATGTGTGTTGCGGGGGTCAGGAGGGCCAAGCGGAGTCCGGGGAGGGAAGTGGCTAGACAGACACGTCCGGGAGGCCTCCGCACCCAGGCTCACACGCACGCACCCATCCCCCCTTACCTGGCACCACGGCACCATCCCGCCCCGAGTGCCCCTGACCGACTCGCAGCCGTTGGGTCCGGGACGCCGGGTGACGCAGGGCGCAGGCGCAGTCTGACGGCACAAGGCTGCTCCCGCCCTTGCCCGCACGGAGCACGCGCAGTTCAGCCTGTAATTGAACTGAGCTGAATTGCTTTCTAAAAATCCGAGCTATTCATCCATTTACACATAGTTCAGAAATTGAATTCTAAATATCTTATATTTACTCAAATTTAAACCATATTCTGTTTCCATTTCTGTCCAAATATTCTCGGCCATTATTTTCAGCTACTGAATCGTAGTTAGTCGTAGATATTCGGTTGCCCATTATCAAGAACTCTTCAAAAAATGCTACTTTGCTTCAGTGACTTTGTTTAAGCAAACCAAGGTTTATACTCATAATCTATGTTTAAAAATATGGGAAATAGATTTTTAAACCTCCATTCAATTATACCCCTTTACTTCAAGGTGTAGTACAATTTTTGAACCGTGAAAATATCTCTGTGTGAGGGAATTTGGATTGTGTGGGATGAGATCTACAGACACTGGACATTAGGCATTAAACATTATCATTAACATATTTTAACTGTATTTAAATTTCTCATTAAAAAAATAGGTGATACAGTAATTTTTTTGAAAGACTAGTTCGACAGAAGCCCATCTAGAATTACTTTACTTTACAGATCACTGAGAATTTCACGCACCTTTCCATACAAATGACTTGTGAAGACATAGAGCTTAGCAAGTCACTAATGAATGGGCCAGCAGAGTGTCTTGCACCATGTAGGTGTACAAAATATTGTTGAGTCAGTTTCATAATTTAATTAGATGATTTTAAAATATCACGTCCTTGTTGTGTAATATTATTCATTGGTCCTTTTAAGTAAAAGCAAAACCCAGCATAATCTATATATACTTGTTAGTTTATTCAAGAAAATTTCGATCAGAAGAAGCACACCTCCTTATGGTTAGTTATTCCCATTGCAACTGCTTCACCTTCAATGAAAGGAGGTAACTACAAAAGAGCTTTTTGCAAATATGTTCTTCACTGATCATCTTCTAAAATTCATACATACAATCTCCTATTTTCAGATGGCAAAGAAAAGCCACATCTTGAAATTTTATTTCTGCAGAAATCTAAGACATTCACAACAAATAAATTTTTAAGAGAGAAAAGTATATCACATGGAAGTTAGCCATTGAAACCAAGGTTCTTTTATGTGCATAGTGTGGCTCTAGAAAGCTTGTAACACTGACTCTTCAGAAGCATTAGGAAGGGGAACTGAAGAAAATAAAAACCTAAAAATTATCCCCAAAGGTGAGTCAGTGAAGCAGAAATCTTCATAGAAATAGAATACTACCTTCATAGGAATAGAAGTTGGTGAAGCAGAAATCTTCATAGAAATAAGATCTGAGACAGTTTCAGGTGAGGGGAGAGATGAGTCCAGAGCCCTTGGTGGACAGCCCAGGTGAAGTCCCTCTAGTCTAAAAGGTGCCCAATGAGGAAACCAATCCACCTTTCATACACCTTTCAGCTCTTTAGCAGTAGAAATGATTGATGCCTGAGTACAGGGCAAGAGCACAAACTGAGCTATGTCCCCTTAAAAGCAGCGAAAGTTCCAGAGGTCCAAATGGAACCAGAGATTGATGGTGAGCTGAATCCCAGATTTATCCCTGGATTCGAGGAAGATATGCCTGGCATGATACAGTGCTATGGGCTGTATGGCTGTGTCCCTCCAGAATGCATAGGTTGAAATCCTAACCCCCAAACTGATAGTATTTGAAGGTAAGCATTTGAGTAGTCATTAGATTATGAGGATGGAGCCCTCATGAAGATTAATGCCCTCATAATAGAGACCCAAAGAGCCTGCTCACACTCTCCACAGCGTGAGTATATAGCAAGAATTCAGCAGTCTGCAACCCAGAAGAATCCTCACAGAACCCAACCACCCTGGCCTCAGACTTCCAGCCTCTAGAACTATGAGGAGCATGCATGGTTCTGTTGTTTTTAAGCCAGTCTATAGTTCTTTGTTATGGCAGCTTGAACTGACTAAGGCATGAAGTAAACCCAGGCTGAAGACCTTTAAAAAATCTGCAAAGGAGAAACAGCCCAGTTCAGCTAATGAAGGATCTCCTCCTACCCTATTCTCATGCTACCCCATGCCCTGGGCCTACAGATAACTCTTCCTTCACTGTACTTCAGCGGTAAGCATAAAGGGCCAGATGGTAAATATTTAGACTTCCCAAGTCTTGCTGATCTCTGTCACAGCTACTCAGCTCTGCTATTGCAGCATGAGAGCAGCCAGAGACAATAAGCAAAGGGGTGAGAGTAGCTCTGTTTCCGTAAAAGTATTTGCAAAAAGGGGAGATGGGCCAATTTGCCCCACAGGCCCTATTTGCTGACCCTTGCAGTATAGAGCTCGTAATGTAAAGGAAGGAGAACAAGAATAAAGAAGAAATCTTCCATTTGATAATCAGTATATCTAGTTTTGGACAAAAGTTTTCTTGCTATGTTTCAGTAAAATGAAAAGCAAACAAAAAAATATAAACTCGTATGGAGGAAAATTTCTCCTTATATAAAGTTTATATAAAATAAATAAAACTAATATGAAAAAATGCAGTATGCAAATGATAGATGAAAAACGTTTTAGTAAAAAGCAACCTCCTACCAAAGAGAAAATTTGCCAGTGTGCTCTGCACTATGAGAATTTACAAGGACACGAATTTGTTTATGAAGACTTCAAGGTTTAGATAAAACCACAGAATAGATATATAAGGTTACAAGGAAATGTTAGAGACTAATAGAATACTATTACAGAAGAAATAAATAAGAAAAAGGAAAAACACAACCAACAGTAGAGACTCAACTATTGCTCTAGAGAGGCACTGTCCAGTAGAACTTTCTGCAGTGATTGGAATGTTCTAGAACAGTACTATCCATTACGGTAGCCACAAATGCCTGCTAAACACTTGAAATACGACTAGTGCAGTCAAGAAATGTAACTTTAAAATATTTTTAAACTTTTTATTAATTTAATTTAAATATTCACACATAACTAGTGACTATCGAACTATAGGTCTGGAGGAAACACTGGAGACAATTTCAGTGAACACAGAAAAAAAGAAAAGAAACAATTACAGATAGTATAATACATGTAGATAGATATGAAAGCCACAGAATATAAAGATAATCTGTTTCCCTGACCAAGAATAAGCAAATGGAACATGACATGACTTTTAAGTTGTAATGGAAGATCACTTTCCCAAATAAGGGAGGAGTTTCCGTTACAGATTTAAAGGACAGTACAGTGTGTACCAATAAAATCTAGAAACTTCATAAGGAACAATGAACTATTTCCTTGTCTTTATTGAATTTTAAGGATAAAATTTCTTCAGGTGTCCAGGAAAAAAATTTTTTTAAGTTATACACAGAAGAAAATTCAGCTACTTTGTGATTTCTTCACAGTAACATTTAGCATCAGAAGACATAGAACATTATCTACAAAATGCTGAGGGAAAGAAACTGAGCCTGAAGTGTCTTATATTCAGTCATACTGTCATTCAAATATAAAGGCAACAGGCAAATAGGAAATAATTTGGGAAATACAGTTCACAAAGAACTTACAAAATCTTTCCCATAATAGAATCTAATCAAACAGGAAATAACATGAAAACCATTTTGGGGGGAAAAAAAGACCAGAGGCAAACATGAATACATGGAATAGCATGGAGGTAAATATTACGGTATACCCAATTATCTTAGGCCTGGTTCCACCGAAGTACAACCTGAAATTAGTAAATAAAATAATTTATTAAAGAAATGCTCTAGGAAACATTGACAAGGAAGTGGAAAGAGTGGGCAGGGAGGGAGAAAGCAAACAAGTAGGTAAAGGTGCAATTTCAGGCAAAACTCCAGCAGAGTATAGATGAGGATCTCTGATTAAATGTGGCAGAATGAGCACATATTTACCTCTTCTCCCTCTGAATAATTATGTTAAAAGTCACACACCCACAAAGATTAGGAGACTAGGAAAGAGAACAATAGAAAAATGTTGGAAACTAGATAGTGAAAGGACAGACCGAGAGTGGGAAGCCATTTTTCTTGTTCTTAAACCCTGACACAATGATGAGAAAGTAGAAGCTATGCTTTTGGAGAGATGCACACTTTAGGTATAATTAACTTTACCGACTTTGTCTTTTCAGAAACAGACTTCCAGGTATCAGAGGTATCTCATAGTGGCAATCAAGCTTGCCTAGAGTAAAGGAAATTTACAAGGCCTAAGACATCATGCATTGGGCAAGGACTGTAAAAGTCATGAAACTTGTAATTACAAATGTTATCACCGCTCAGAGGGAGAGCAGATGGGGATTCAATCTTCCAGTAAATTGGGCACTATCTACAAGGAAGCCAAGGATGCCCCGAAGCTACCCACTGGGAAGGCCTAGGAGATAAGGGAAGGTGCACCCTCCATTAGGTCTATGGAATGTCGTTTGGGAAGTTGCCCGAGAGTTAGAATCCTTGTCATGCCCTTCTCTAGGGGCTATGATAATGTGGGCGGACATTAATGGCTCTCTGTGCCACAGGATCTCCAAGACATCCACAGGTGGTCAACAAGGAAGTCACAGCACTCACATGAAACATCTCCAAGAAAAGGATTTAAGCCAGGACTCTGGGGGGCTACGACGCCACACTCACCTAGAGTGTAGGCCCACTCCCTGTCTGTGGGGGGTGAACTTTTCTTAAATAAATCTTTTCTTCTCTCACCTCTGTGTGTCGCAATTCTTTGCAATTTACTCGGATCTCTGGCTTGCCGGCACGCACCTCTGGCTTGCCAGCCCCGGCAGTGCTGCGCACCTCCCTGAGCCTCTCCACCCTCGCCCTGTCTGTCCAGTACTCTAACAGATAATAGATGGGACAATTCCAGTTCTGATTATTATGCAGGTAACTGAATTCAGGCTTACCTTCTCACAATAAATAAATAATAAATACTTAAATGGTAGACAGTTAAACAACTCTCTGCAGGTACCAGCTAGCAAGGGCAAAAATTCTTGAGAGAA